TCCCCAATTAAATTGAAATAATGACCCCTTATCTAGTTTACAAGATTGAGGTAATATATGTGAAATTACTTTGTAAAGCATAATTACTTTATTTGTACTTGGAGTCATGTTGATTATCTTTTTTTCTTTGACCTCCCTACCCTGTCCATTACCATATTTTGTCAATTACTTTTTTCTTTTTTAAAATATTTTTAGTTGTTAATGGATCTTTTTATTTCATTTATTTACTTATATGTGGTGCTGAGGATCAAACCCAGGGTCTCATACATGCCAGGCAAGCACTATACCACTGAGCCACAACTCCAGCCCAATTACTTTTCTTTTCACATCTATCTACGTCTCTTTTCACTTGACACTCCCTAACCAAGCCACTGTCATCTGTTGTCTGAACCATGACAGTGTCTCTGACTGCTCAATTCCTTTCCCCTCTGTTACCTTTAAATAATTCTCCCAGTCTTATCAAGTGTGGTATTTTTAAAATGCAAATCTGTTTGTGCTACTCGCTTCCTTAAAATATCATTCAGTGGCTTCCCAATAAAGCCCAAGATGCTTAATTCAGCTCTGCAAGACTTGATCCTTGCTTTAGCATCTTTGCATTGCTCCTTGCCTTAGAGCTCTGCACATGTTAATCTCTCTCCCACTCCACCCTGCACCTTGCCCCATGACTGAGCCAACTCCTAATTCTTTCTATAATGAAGCAGTATATTAATTGATTTGCTCATTAATTTATTCATTAAAATAAATATTTTTTCTTAGCTTAAATACCACTTTCTTGGAGGAGCCTATTTTGACCTCTACTCCCAGATCTGAAAGCTCTGAACTTCTCTCATAGCACATTACAAGGGCAGGTGAATAACTAATGAATAAACAGCACCCAGTACTGTCTCCCCCTGCTGGAAGATAAGCTCCTCGGTGGCAGGGATACATCTAATTTACTACTCTACCGCCACTACTCATAGGGTTCTTGGTGCATGATAATGCTCAATAAACATTTGTTTCACAAACGAATAAGTGAATCGTTGGGTACACACCTGCTGTTGAGTTGTTCTGCCAGAGACTGGGGAGCTGAAAGGTGTGGGTGCTGTAGGGAGCAGACAGACCGACTTTTCTGGTCACCCCTCCCTCCATCCTCCTCACTTTTCCCACTCACCTTTTCCGCCTTTTCCGGGCTAAACCAAAACACCGCAGTATCTGTCTCATCATGGGCTCCCCTGAAAGCACCCCACTGAAAATAATGCTGCAGACTGGATATTTGTGAAATGCTCATGGACACTGTAACAGGAAAAAGAAGATTCTCCCTGCTAGTACTGAATTAGAACAAAACCCACAGGAAGGGCAGGGGTTGTAACTCAGTGGTAGAGCACTTGCCTAGCATGTGTGAGGCACTGGGTTCAGTTCCTGGCACCACATTAAAAAAAAAAAAAAAAAAACACAGGGGGGCCAACCCACGATCTCCAAGGCAGGGGGGCTCTCAGTGGTGAAAATAGTCCTTTCAGTCAGGCTTTTTTTCTGTTACAAGTTTTTGTTATTTTAAAAATATTAACAGAGATGTACGCTTATAGTCAAAAGATATAAAAAGGTGAAAAAAGCCTTAATTCTAGGTGCTGAATTTCTCTAACCAGAAGCAGTAAGTTTTCAGAAATATTCTGGGTCAACACAAGCAAACTCATATATATATTCTCTTCACACTTAACCCTTTACAAAAAGGGATAGCACATGTTTATATTGTTCTGTAACTTTTTTTATTTAACAATACAGTTTGAGAATTGTTCCATATCAGTTTATATAGAGTTATTTCATTCTTTTTCATACCTGTATGGTACTATATTAAGTGTATGTCTTATTATTATTTGTCCAAAACTTTATTTATGGTACCTCCCAATCTTTTGTTATTATAAACATCAATGTATTAAATATATAAATTTCATATTATCTCTATTTGTTTTCTGGCATGATTAACATATAGAAATAAAATGGCTGAATCAAAAGTATAGATTGTAAAAGTTTTTGTAGATATTACTTAACTTCCCTCTGTTTATAGACTGAATTATGTTCCCTACCTCCTGCAAATTCATACACTGAAGCCCTGACCCCAAATGTGACTATATGTGGAGAAACAGCACTTATAAGAGAACCACTGTCTCCCCAAACTGTCACCAACTTAGAATGCAGTCAAACATTCAAATTTTATCTTTGCCATTCTGATAGGGGAAAAAAATGATACCTCAGGTAGGTTTATTTTGTATTTATATTCAGCAAGGCTGGACATCTTTTCATGTATTTGAGAGACATTTGCATTTTTTTCCTGTGAATTGTCTGCCAGATCCTTCCCCAATCTTTCTATTGGTTTGTGTTCTTATTGATTTGTAGACCTACTTTATATTAAGAAAGCAAACCCTTTGTGATGAGTTTTAAACATTTCCCATAATTTACTTGATATCTTTTAATTTTGTGAGTTTTTTCATTTAAAAATGTTCAAGGAATCCAATTTATCAATCTTTTCATTATTGCCTCTTGGTTTGCAGACTATTTTAAATGGTTTTCCCAAGCTGACTTAAAAATAAGTGTCTCAGTAGAATTAATTGGACATGACTTTCCTAGCCTTATATCTGTATATACAACCAGGGTAACTCCACATCATGTACAACCTACAAGAATGGGAATCTAAACAGAATAAGTTACACTTTATGTATGTATATTCTGCCCAAATACATTCTACTGTCATGTATAACTAAAAATTAAAAAAAATTAAAAAATAAAAAGATATAAAATCATATGTGTCACATCTTTTAACACTTTTAGGATTTAATGTTTTACATTTAGATTTTTGATTCATCTAGAATTTATTTTAGTGTGTGGTATAAGTAGAAAAACAACATTATCTTGGCAAGCTTTTTACAAATCATTTACTGATAGACCTTTATTTTCCCCATTAATTTCAAGTGTCACATTTAATATATACTTAGTGCCTGTGTTTTGTTCTGTGGATTTATTAAGTTACAGTAATATTATGTTTTAATATCTAGGAAGACTGGGAATATTTCATTACTGTTTTAGAAATTTCATTTTGAAATTTAGAATCAATTTACTTTGAAACAAAAATTTTCTTAGTGTTTTTATTGGGCATACATTGAACCTAAGATCAACTTAGGATGAAAAGACATCTTAGCGATGTTGAATCATCCTACCCAAGATGATAATCTGCCTTTTTATTTGCTCAAGTCTTATTTTGTGTCTGTCAATGGCAGTTCAAACATTTTTTTCTGATAGTTCTTGAATATTTCTTAAGTTTATTTCTTGGTCGGTCTTTCTTTCTTTTTCTAACTGATAGTTGGAACCAATTACATTAATTATATTTTCTAGTTAGTAACATTTAATTACATTTTGTAATTGGTTATTTATTTATTAAATATTTATTTTTTAGTTTTAGGTGGACACAATATCTTCATTTTATTTTTATGTGTTGCTGAGGATTGAACCCAGTGCCTCATGTGTGCTAGGCAAGCACTCTACTACTTGAGCCACAATCCCAGCACTATAATTGGTTATTTATTGTAGATATAAAACTATTGTATTAGCTGCTATAATTTTAGTATTAGCTAGCTTATTAAATTATCTCAACTTTTATCATTTTTAGTAGATTCATCTTTTCTAGGCAAAAATCATAGTATATTCAAATAATCAAAATTAGAGCTGGGGTTGTATCTCAGTGGTAGAGCACTTGCCTAGCATGGGTGAAGCACTGGGTTCGATCCTCAGCACCACATAAAAAACAAATAAATAAGAAGTGTCTGTTCAGTTGCTTGGGTATTGATTGGGTTATTTGTTTTTTTGGTGTTAAGATTTTTGAGTTCCTTATATATCCTAGACATTAGAGCTCTATCTAATGTGCATGTGGTAAAAATTTGATCCCATTCTTGAGGCTCTCTATTCACCTCACTGATTCTTTCTTTTGCTAAGAAGCTTTTTAGTTTGAATCCATCCCATTTGTGTACAACCAGAGACATGAAAAACTGTGCTCTATATTTGTACTATGAATTGAAATGCATTCTGCTGTCATGTGTAACAAATTATAATAAATAAATTTGGGGGGCTGTGGTTGTGGCTCAGAGGTAGAGTGCTTGCCTAGCATGCGTGAGGCACTGGGTTCAATCCTCAGCACCACATAAAAATAAAATAAAGATGTTGTGTCCACCTTTACCTAAAAAATAAATAATAATAATAATAATAAAATTTTAAAAACAAATAAATAAAAAATTAAATTCTTGTTAAAAAACCTAACTTCTTCGATTCTTATGAAGAATTCTTTTTTTGAAGGCAAGAGTAGGAAGGCAGCAGGGTTTTTGTTTTGTTTTACACAAAATAAGATTTTTCAAATAGGTAACAGTTCAAAGTTTTGAAAGCATAAACAGGTAAACAGCAATAAATAAATAAATCATCTTTCTACCCCATCACCCAGTATCCCTGATCACAGGTAACAGCATTTTTCATAATTTTATATCCTTCCAGAGGCATCTCACACATATGCAGCAGGTATTGTTGCCCCTGGGCCTGCCTCCAGGGACAGTTTCAGACGTCCAGGCAAAAACTGAGCTCTAGAAGGCCAAGGAAGACCAGATATGAGATCTTTTCCCATGTCTTATATGTCTCAGTGACTATACAAGGAGAAATTGAAAAGATCCAAGGCTGAGCTCCAAGACAGTTCCATCTTCTCTGGTAGGTTTTCCCAGACTGTGGTCTTAAAAGAGCCTTCTGCTTTTAGAACTTTTCCCCCATACTCTGCAACAAACTCTACCTCCTTATCTCTTTCACACAGATGAATTCCAGACACACATGTTCTCTCCTTATATTATCAAAACAGCCCATGAGCATCTAGCAATGCAATTCAGATTTGGACATGGGCCTCCTGTTTAGGGAGTCACCTTCCAGGGTTTTCCTTTGTTGTCCAGATAACATCTCTGAGGGGCTCTTAAAGCCACTGAAGAAACAGGCTTAGAGGTTTCTTGGGGGATCTTCCAGCTGGTAGGTGTTGCTGGTTGCATCTCTCACTCCAGGCCTGACAGTCATATCCCTAGCTGGGTCCCCTGGCACAAGAGATAGAACTCAGGAAGGGTTACTCCCAGCAGCTGGTCCAGGAGATACCAGCAGGGAGGGAATAGGAGAAAAGAAACCTGTCAGGCCACTCACAAGAGGAGTGGAGAGAAATTTTGCTATTTACAAATTTTTACGCACTTGATCATTTCTTGTCTGCAAGAGATTTTCAGAGAGGGAACCCAGAGGCAATAATTCAAGACAGGCATTTCCTGTGCTGAATTGGATGAAGGTGGCCTACAGTCATGGGACAAGGTGAGCCAAGCCACAAGGCTTACTGAACTGTCATTAATTCCTCCATTATTATGTGTTTTCATTAAAGAAAGTAGGATGACAGGAAAGATGATGGTGGGGGAGGGGAGGGGAGATGATAGTGTGGCTGTGGTGGGATAAATAAGTGGGTGCTGGTGGAGAGGAGATGGTGGTGTGGCTGTGCAGTGGTAATGGGTAGATGGTTGGTGATAAATTAGTGGTCACAGTTGTGATGATGATGGTGTTTAAAATGGATTTACATCCTTATCCCAGGATAATCATAACCTGATAGTTCACAGCTCACTGGGCTGTGATACAAATGAGAGACACCCCAGAAAAGCATGAGTCCAATAAAAGGAAAGGGGAGGTGAGAGTCAGGGAATCAACTAGAAGGGGCAGACGCAGACATAAACATCAGGCAGACCTGGGGGGTACAGAAGCTTCAGGAACCTCTGCAGGGGTCCATCAGCACAGGCTGAGGCCCAAGGTGCCTCTGAGAAACTCTCCATAGGGCTGACTCGATGTTCTCATCCATTCACTGACTGAGCAAACACGGACTGGGTAACTATTGTATTCAGCACACTGCTCGGCACAAGATGTAGTTAAGAAAAAACACTACCTCAGGAAGTTCAGTGGGAGGGGTAGCAGAGAGAAAAACTGGATGGCTATAAACTAAATGTTGAAAAGAGTGAAGCAGAGTATATGGGAACTCAGAGGACTGATCTCCGCCTGGAGGAGTCAGTGAAGGCTTTGTCGGGGGGTGTCTTAGGATCCTGGAAAATGAGTAGGCATCAACCAGGCAAAAAGAGGCAGGAGGAGAAGCCTTCCTGACTGACCCAGAATCCTAATGGATCCTGAAGAGTGGCTCTTCTGTAACACTGTGGTCATTAAGTCATGAGGTGGACTCAGATACACCAAGGCTCAAATCACATGACTGTTCACCATTCCACCATTCACCAACACAACCAGTCTAAAGAGGCAGGGCTTGTTCTGGTCCCCAGCAAACAGAGAGGAATCGTTTCTGGTTTCTGAGTACTGCCATTTTCAATTTACAAATCCCAGCCTTGCTGTGGCTATTTTATTTATTGCAATGACCTAACCAACCCACTGGTGGACAAAGGGGTAAAAGGAGTACCTAGGGACACCAGGATTAGATGCACAGAGAGTTTCCTTTTCTCCTCTGTATACTTTCACACTCCTTCATATGAACAATGTCACTTCTTGCCCCCCATTTTTATATCAATGGCATCTTCCGTCAGCTCTATCACTAATGAAAGGAATATTATTGGAGGTGGGATATTTTCTTTTCTTTATCCTTCCCTTCTACTCTTGAGCTCTAAGTCAGAAAGTTTGGGAACTGATGGAAATTGGAAGCAGAATTGAATTTGCCAAAATATCTTGGAGCCTGAAGAACTTTGCCATCGGGGTCAGATCATTTCCCTGAAGTAGGTTTGACTCTATTCCACGCCTGTCAGCAAAAGCCATAGCTTCTCTATCCCAGTAGCTGAGCCCCTGCAAACACTGCAGGCCACCTTCAGACTAGAGAGACTCCCAACAGCCCTCTGTTGTCAAAGAAATTAAAAAGTTCACAACTTTGCACAAGGAACTGAATTTTCTTTTAACAGCATTGTGCCTTATCTTGGACTTGCCAATGATATTTTTAAAAAATTTCTGTTTCCTTGTATTTCCTCTTCTCCATAAAATAAAAATTAATTGATAGACTTTTCTCAGGCCACCTCCTTGTAGAGTTTCTCTGAACAGTGTGGTGCTGAGATTTTGGTAAGCCTCTAGGTCACTGAACACACATGATCTCAAGGGAACTGGTTCTACTCTCAACCTCACTCTTTTCCTCTTTAGGACAAGAGAACTGGATCTCAAAACGAGTTCTGAAAATTACCCAATTGCAATCTAAGAAAAAATGAACAAGGATGAACAAAATTCTGGATCCTATTCATTGCTTGGAATTGGGAACATAAAAGGATATCAACAATGAGAACAAGCATTGCTCTCCATAATAATAACAATGGCAATACCACTTCATGGGTTTTAATATGTCTGACACTGTACAAAAATATATGATCTTACTTAATCCCCACAAACTCTGTAAGGAGGGTTAATAATTATAAGGAGAAGGAAATTGAGGCTCAGAGTTTGCAAGCTAATAAGTAAGGTGAAACGATGACTTGAACCTTGTCTCTCTGACTTCAGAATCTCTGCTTTTACTTATATTGTTACCCCGTATCCATGATTTTGATCTTTTTCACAATAGCCCTGGATATCGAGAGCTGTGACTTCCAGGCAGCAAAGAACAACAAGGAGCACCATACCAGTGCCATCAGCTCCAGTCACCTCATTGTGCGGAGGGGGCAGCCCTTCACCATCAGCTTGCACTTCCGTACCCCAGTCCACAGATTTCTTCCTACCCTGAAGAAGGTGGCCCTAATTGCACAAACTGGTAAGTGGACAGGTTTAGATATCTTTGGCAATGGGACTGTGGGATTTCTCTCTCAAAACAAAAGAGAGAGGAAAAAGGAACAAATGGCCCACACTGTTATGGGGTCTTAAGAAGTCCTGCCCACCTGGAGATGCCATGAGATAGTGTGCATAATAAATGCTGTCTGTTACTATTCAGAATTTGCTCAGCAGCATTGTCAAATGTTTTAGTTTGGTTGTAAATTTAGTTTTTGTAGAAAAGCCTGAATGGGCTCTAACTCAGGGTAAATATAATATCTAATTGCCACTATTTGTTAAATCTGTACTACATGTCCAATATTTTTAAAAAATATTTTTTAGTTATCAATGGACCTTTATTTTATTTATTTATATGCAGTGCTGAGAATTGAACCCAGTGCCTCACACATGCTAGGCAGGCGCTCTACTACTGAGCCACCACCCCAGCCCCTACCTGCTTAATATTGAGCCCAGTACTTCATGTGCAATATCAGTCCTCACATTGGCCTCCCCACTCCCCTACTCTTTTTTTTTTTTTTTTTTGTAACTGAGAATGAACCCAGGGGGGCTTAATGACTGAGCCACATCCCCAACCCTTTTTATTTTTCATTTTGAGACAGGGTCTTGCTAAGTTGCTTAGGGCCTCACTAAATTGCCAAGGCTGGCTTTCAATTTGCAATTCTCCTGCCTCAGCCTCCTGAGCCGCTGGGATTATTGGCATACACCACTGTGCCCAGCCTTTCTCCCCCACCTTTTTTCATATTTTTTATTGGTGCATTATAGTTTTACATAATGTGTATTTGTTGCTACATATTAGCAGATGCCCACAATATAATTATATAATTTGGCCAATATAATTTCCCAGTCTTTCCCTTTCACATTGTCCTTATGAAGCAATTACAATCACCCCTCCATATCCATGGGTTCCCCCATTCTCGGATTTAACCAACCACATATGGAAAATTCCCTGGGGGTGGATTATGTCTGTACTGAATACATAGACTTTTTCTTGTCATTATTCCTTAAACAATATAGCATAATGACTATTTACATAGGACTCACATTGTATAAGGTATTATAAGATATCTAGAGATTATTTAAGATATATAGGAGGATGTTCATGGGTTATATGCAAATAACTAAGCCATTTTATATAAGGGACTTGAGCATTCTCAGATTTCTGCAGGAGGTCCTGGAAAAAAATCCCCCACATATAGGGAGGGATGACTACATTAATATGGCCATATTATTGACTATGAAACTTTCGAAAAGTGTAAGCAATGAACAATGAGAACCTGTGCTCTCCTTTACCTTTTATTGTTCCTCATTACTGGATAGGCCTCTTTCGTTCTCCTCCAACACAAACTTTCACCTTCCCCATCTTTGTAATACCCTGACTTTCTTATTCTGATTGTGACCAAGAAGTCCAAATGGCTGATTTATCATTGTGGGATTGCAGGACAGCAGCCTTCCAAGACCAACAGGACCCAAGTCACTCTTCCCATTTCCACTATGGGAGACCAAAAATGGAGTGCAGCAGTGGAAGAGAGAGATGCCCATTTCTGGGCCATCTCTGTGACCACATCTGCTGATGCTGTCATTGGCCACTACTCACTCCTGCTGCAGGTCTTGGGTGAGAAGGAACACCTCTTGGGCCAGTTCACAGTACTCTTTAACCCATGGAGTAGAGGTAAGTTTGGACCCAGGCTACCCTGGGCTGCACCAAGGCATTGGAGCTGAGGTGCAGGTCTGGGAGGGACCCTTCTCAGACGCAGCATCCTGTCTGGGTATCACCCTGGTAGAAGCACCCTGGGGCTTTCCACTGAAATTCCAGGTGCTGGCTCAGGTTATTTCAGTTGTGTGAGTTGAGACTCACTTAAATAACCCTAGGAAAGTTACCCTTTAACAGTAAAGGGGCAAAAGCTGGAAAAGGCTGCAGGAAGGCCATGGGATAGGCTTCTCTGTCATTCCCTGTCACCTTTAGTCTATCTCCAGGGTGTAGTCAGGTTTTCTGGGGCCAGAGCTTTTATAATTTGAAGGACCCTTTTAAAGAAAAACAATACAATTGAATTGAATTGCTAACCCCCTCCAAGAGGGGGACCTGTGGAAGAGGTCTGTGTTAGTGAGGGTTCCCAAGCTTCATCAGCTTCACAGTAAATGTGCCCAGTTTTGCTTTGCTTGTCTCCATTTGTTTGTTCTGTTCTTGAGACAGATTACAGGGTCCTCTCCATTTTAACTTGTCCAAATATCTAACTGGAGCCCTATAATTCAGCCAGCTTATAGGTGGGCTCCCCTGGGTCATGCAACCTCATGTTGCTCATTAAGTGGCCACCTCTAGCAAAGCTGAGCCCTGATTGAGGCTGGGGCTATTACATCTAGAAAGGGCCATTGAGGGGCTGGAGTTGTGGCTCAGTGGTACAGAAATTGCCTAGTACAGGTGAGGCACTGGGTTTGATTCTCAGAACCACATAAAAAAGAATAAAGATATTGTGTCCATCTACAACTAAAATTATTTAAAAGAAAGTAAAGGCCATTAGACATGACTGATTTGCCCAAATTAGGACCCAATGGGGCATATTCTCTTCCTTCCCATTCTGAAGATTGGATCTTTCCTTTCCTTTCTAAATTTGCCACACCCACCTTAATCTGGTGGGCTCCATAAAGGATTGATTGGGAGAATGGAAAACAGTTCCTCCTGGCTTTCCTGTCCTCAAGACTTCAGATCTTGAAAAACCCTTTCATTTCATGAGTTTCTCTGCCAGCCTGAGGGCCCCCCTTTAAAAGGCAAGATGGATAGTCAGAGGAAACATGGAAAGTAAAAGAATCTTCACAGATTCCTAGAGCCCCATCCTGGACCCAGGTCCTGACTATGTTTCTCTGTGGTACCTGAAGCCCAGTGGCCTCACTCTCTCTACTTCTTTCATCCAGGGTGGGGTTTTCCAATCCCTACTGCCTGCTTTGGATGGTCCTGCCAGTCCTCAGTTCAGACCCTTCTTTCCTGTTCCAAAGGGGTAGGCAGGTGGAGCAACAGATGGGAGTTAGTGTCCATTCAGGAGCCCTTATTCCATGTGGGTGAACGTGGATTCAGGGCCCTTTAGCTGACAGAGGCCCCATGGATCTCCACATAGGGAAGACCTTCAAGCCATTTCTCCCAAAAACTGAGGCTTTGGTGTACCTCTCACTAACTAACTGAGTCCAAATCCAGAGCTAGAGCCTGGCAGCCATAGTAAAGACGAGCAAAGACAGTACTAGAACAGTGCTGGGTTCAAAGGGAAGCCACAATCTTGACTGGTGCCAGGATTCCTGGCTTCATGCTTCAGTGAAACATGCTCACATGCTCAGGCCACCTAAGGAGGCCTTTCATGTGAGTGTGCCAGTGTGCATGGAGGTGTCGGTTAGAGCGTGGTGAATTGTTGGCTCTGATCCTTTGGGAGATGACAAAAAGAGGTTGAGAGCCCAGGCAATGGCACATGCCTGTAATCCCAGGGGCTTTGGAGGCTGAGGCAGGAGGATCACGAGTTCAAAGCCAGTCTCAGCAAAAGTGAGGTGCTAAGCAACTCAGTGAGACCCTGTCTCTAAATAAAATACAAAATAGGGCTGGGAATGTGGCTCAGTGGTCAAGTGCCCCTAAGGTACCAAAAAAAACAGAGGTTGAAAGATTCTCTGGCATCTCAGTCTCAGCGTATTTAGGGGCTTTCCTGGATTCAAAAGGAATGTTTAACTCATATGATGAAAGTTATGCCATGGACTTTATAAAGGGGGCTGTATCCCAGCAGAGAAGAGGTAGTAGTGCTGCCTGTGCTCTTCCCAGAGCCCTACAGATCATGGGACCAAATACCTCCATTTGAAGTGATTTCTGAAGAACTGATACCTAGCTGACTTCATAGAGAGTACTCAGAATGAATGCACAGGAGTTAAAGACTCCTTGGAATACAGTTCTGTGATTTTAGACCCCAGATTTACAGGATTTCCTGATTTAGAATATTCTATCCTGGGCTGGGGATGTGGCTCAAGCGGTAGCGCGCTCGCCTGGCATGTGTGCGGCCCGGGTTCGATCCTCAGCACCACATACAAACAGAGATGTTGTGTCCGCCGAAAAAAACTAAAAAATAAATATTAAAATTCTTTCTCTCTCTCTCTCACTCTCTCTTAAAAAAAAAATAAAAAAAAAAAAAAAGAATATTCTATCCTTCTCTTGCCTGGAGTACCTTCATTTCAGCTTGATGCCTGTGGAGGGCCCCAGAGAGCTGTAGCCCATTAGCTTTTCTGGATGGCCTAGAGATTTTTATTTTTATTTATTTATTTTTTGTACCAGGTATTGAATCTAGGGTCACTTAACCACTGAGTCACATCCCAGCACCCCCCCCCCCTTTTTTTTTGTATTTTATTTAGAGACTGGGTCTTGAGTTGCTTAGGGCCTTGCTAAATTGCTGAGATTGGCTTTGAACTCACAATCCTCCTGCCTCAGCCTTCCAAGCTGCTGGGATTACAGGTGTGCAACTTGCTCCCAACCTGGAAATCCTTTTAAGAGTTCCCAGGAACTAGTCTAACTGCCCCCACTCTTCCATATCACCAAGTCAGAGAGATAAGACTTGGCAAGCAGAGCTGTTCCCTGCACTGCTCCCAGCTTCCTGGAGTGAGCCATGGTCTCCTCCAAAGTTGCCTATCCTCCTCATGATGCCCAGCCCAGCCCTGGGGTGAGGGAAGCAGAAGGAACTTCAGGAAGAGATGGTAGGAGTCTTAGACCTAAGGCACTGCTCCTTCCTACCCTGTCTTGCCTCAACTCATCTTCCCTCTGCTCATTCCTGTTTACCTATGACTTCCCTTGAGCTGATACTGCTCTGTCTTCAAACACCTTCTGGGAACTATTCTGCATTTTAAGGTTGTCTTGTTCCTGTCTGCCTGGCTAACCATGAAGGCCACATCCTGACTGACCCAGGAATTCTGGGCCAGGTCTCAGAACCGGCAGTGGAAAAGGGACTTCTTCCTGGATCTTTATTAGGCCCAGAGCTGCAAGGGAGTCCTATAGCCAAATATGACCTGGACTGGGAAGGCAGAGACCTGAGTACAGAGGGCAAGTCTGGCACCCCTCAAACCCTCATTCTTTCTTTCTTCTTGCCAGAGGATGACGTATTTCTACCAAATGAGGCTCAACGCAGTGAGTATGTGTTGAACCAGAATGGTCTTATCTACCTGGGCACGGCCGACTGCATCCAGGAAGAGCCCTGGGACTTCGGCCAGGTATTTGGGACCTCCAAGGGAAGGAAAGGACAGTGGCTATCCTATAATCTTCCATGTTCAGGCCAGACAGGGCTGCCAGATCCAAAAGTCCCTGATTGTGAGATCATTTCTTAAGCCCATTTTAGCCCTGTGGTATCTCCCTTTCTACTGGGTCTCATCACACCACCTTCCACAGCTGCCAGAGTTATTGTCCCCAAAGCTGTGGCACATGAAGTCTCTATTAAAATAATCTCTAATATCTATAGAATCAAGACCAAGTCTCCTGCCCTGATACCCAAGGCCCTTCCAATGAGGCACTGCTTTCCTTTCCCCACAAGCTGCCCTGTGTCCTAGCTGCAGGGCGTCAAGGCTGATGTTTCCTCTGCCTGGAACAGCTTCTCCCTTTATCCTCTGGAAACTCCTATCTATCTCTTAAGACTTCCTGAAACAGCTTCCCCCATCCCCTAAAGGCAGAGGGATTCTCTCCACTGCATTCTCTCCTCTGCATTGGTGTCTCTATAGAGCCCTGAAATCTAAGGGCCATGTATCTATCTCTAGCGCTAAACTGGGGGCTCCTCCAGAGCAGGAGTTACCTTGATATCCTCCAAACCTGCCTCAGGTATGGGGCAGTAGGAGCTCATGAAATAAAACAGTGATGGTCCTCAAGAGTTCACACCCTCTCATGTGCGTCAAACAATAGAACAGGCAAAGGTCTGGATGCTGGGACATAGGGACCAGGAAGCACAGTGGGAGAGAGGCAAGAGACAGAACTCCCACAGGAGACAAGGAGGCAGGGGAGGAAGGTGCAGAAGGGAGGGTGAGATGTTGGGGCTGTCCTAGGGAATGAGTGCCTGACCTGGAGACCCTTTATTGTGGCCCTGTGTGGTCTTACAGTTCGAGAAGGATGTCATGGACATCAGCCTAGGCTTGCTAGGCATGGACAAGCATATGGAGAAGTGGAGTCAGCCTGTGCACGTGGCCCATGTGTTGGGTACCTTGGTGAGTGAGAAGTGGGAACCAGAGGGAAGAAGAGATGGGAAAAGAGCCCTTTGACAGACCTGTCCCACCTGTCCTGGAAGTCCTCAAAATCACAAACAGTCCCCTCTCCCAGGCTTTTAGAGAAAAGCCCTGCTAAAGAGGGAAGAAGTTTAGGCAATAGCCTCCACAGGAGCAATAAAAGAAAAAAAAAAGGTATCATTCAGAAAAAGGCCAACTGAGGGGCTGGGGTTGTAGCTCAGTGGTAGATTGCTTGCCTAGCATGTGTGAGGCAATGGGTGCAATTCTCAGCATCTCATATAAATAAATACAAATAGGTCCATCAGCAACTTAAAAAAAAAAAAAAAAAAACAGCTGAGAAGGAAAACTGGTCTGGGATTCCTCAGAGGACTCCTCCCCATCCTTCCACTGCACCCTCCCAGACCCAACTGTAGTGTCCACATTACCAGTGCTTGCTGCTACCAGGTCAAAGGGACCTGTCTTTATTTCTAAGAATAATGCAGACCATGAAGGTAGCTTGGTGGTTTTCCTTGTCTCTGAAAGTTCTTCCATAGGAGTAATGTGCTATTTCCTTAGGTGCCTCTAAAGTCCACTCTGAAAAGGAAGTAGGACCAAGGCCAGCCTCTATGGAGGAAGAAGCCTCCAAGACACAAGGCAAACTAAGTCAAAGGAGTCAGGGCAAGGGAAGCTAATGACCAATGACCAAGCACTTCCCAGCAGCTTTCTTACTCCTCTCTGTGGCTCAAGCAGGAGAACTTATTTAAAAACGTAATCCTGGGTCTGAGTTCTAGCAATGACAACCCAGTGGGTCTAGGATGGAGTCCAGAAGCATTCAGATTTAACAAGTCTCCAGTAATTCTGATTTGTGCTTGGAGAGATGCAGTGAACCCTCATGTATTTCATGTATTTTGTGCCGTGGGACTCACACCCACACATTTCCCCAAACAGCTGCAAACTCTCAAGCAGAGGAGTGTCCTGCCCATCCCGCAGGCCCAGACTGCCCAGGAAGAAGCCCTGCTTAACAAGCGCCGGGGAAGTGTACCCATCCTGCGGCAATGGCTCACCGGTCAAGGGCGACCTGTGTATGAAAGTCAGGCCTGGGTGTTGGCTGCTGTTGCTTGCACAGGTACAGAGCAGGCAACACATAAGTCAGTTACCTGGGCTGCTGTATACTGTCTGTCCTGTGTCCTGAGTTGCCCCTTGACCTTCCATCTGGGAGGGACATCTCCAAAAGCAGGCACAAACCTCTACTCTGCAGCTTTCCCCCATCTTCATCATGCCCATAAATGGTTCAGCCTTATTAAGAAACCAAAACCACTTCCTGTCTGGCTTGGGAACTCCTTGTCCCAACCAATCCTCCCCAATAGCTTTTGTTTCTTTTCCTGTCAACAAAGCTGGGTCCTTTTTCAACTGTACTCTCTAAGTCACTTTCTCTCAGAAACATTCCCTCACCCTGCTGCAAAAGAGCAAGTTCTATCCTCTATTCTGCAGTCCTCTCCCGTGCTCTATATTCAAGTGCTGGGTAATTTGTACCTCCATGATCAGTCTTTATGTTCTGTTCTTGAGTGCCAGTTCTAACTTCCTGGTGCTGTGCTCCTCCTCCTTCCACAGTGTCATTTGATATTTAAAACAAAGTTTACCCAGAAGAGACACTGAAAATTCTAGCCATATGCATTGTGTCCACTCCCTCGGCCCCAACTTCTCTGCTCCCTCTGACACCTATCAACTACCTCTTCTCTGCAGTGCTGCGATGCCTGGGAATCCCAGCCCGTGTTGTTACCACATATGCCTCAGCCCAGGGTACCCACGGGGACCTGTTGGTGGACGAGTACTACAATGAGGAGGGGATCCAGAATGGAGAAGGTCAGAGAGGACGCATCTGGTGAGAAGCCCAAAGGAGATGGGGTTCCAGATTAGGAAGAGCTCCAAACCCTTTTGGTATAGGCCCATGGGAATCCCCACATCCCGAGCGGCTCTGGTACTCAGAGTAGGCCTTCAGGACTCTTGGAGGCAGGTCAGTCATGTGTGTACTCCCCTTCCTGGAAGTGTTATGGACACTTTTACAGTGTCCTCCCATCCCCATGGTAACAATGACTCTGCTAGGCCCATTTCTAGAACCACCTACATACTCTTTTTCTTCCCATTTGCATTTGATACCTTCAGGATCTTCCAGACTTCCACGGAGTGCTGGATGACCAGACCTGATTTTCGTTACCCACATTATGCCGGATGGCAGATTCTGTATCCATATGTTCCTAATAAAGGTGAAGGTAAAGCCTGGGAGTGGGCTCAGGACTACCCAGGGCTGCAAGAACTGAAGAGGTCCCCCAGAGAGAAAACAGGAACAGCAGGTGTCCCAAAGGGGATCTGTGTTCTCTAAAACAGGAGAAGCAGAAGGAAGAATAGTGGCCAGCAGAAAGCTGACCTGATACCAGCATGCTTAGCCATATAGGGAAATGATCTTAAGATGCCCGGATAGTGCAAGTGCTAGGGCAGGGCTAGCAGCATAGGATTTCTGAGGTTCTGGATGGGGATGAGGAAGGTCTCAGGATAGGCTCAAGCTCAGAAAAGGAAACCAGCAGCCATGGAAAGGGTTGTTCCTTGCTCAGAAACAGAACTGGCAGATAGCAAGTGCTTAAGAAAGATGACCAATTCCTGTCATATCTGTAGTTGAGCTGGCTTGGGAACTCCCATGTATGACACATGTTCCTCTGACGTCCTTCCTGGCCAGTTTCAGAGAGGGCTTCAACCAGAAAGTATTTTTATTACATAGTTGTCTCACCTCTCTCCTCTAAGAAACTGCCTAGTATCACCTGTGACCTTGAGCCTGGGGGAGGGAAAACAGGGTACAGGGTAGGGACTGATGTGATGTAGCAGCTCTGAGAAGAGCAGAGGAAATGTCTGGGAGTGGTCCTCTTGCTCATTAACCTTTCTCTCCCCCAGGCTTGGGATCCTGTGATCTTGTTCCAGTCAAAGCAGTCAAGGATGGGATACTGGAGCTGACCCCTGCAGTGTCAGACCTTTTTGCTGCAGTAAACGCCTCGTGTGTAGTCTGGAAGTGCTGTGAGGATGGAAAACTGGAATTGACCAACTCCAACACAAAGTATGTTGGCAACAACATCAGCACTAAGGTTGTGGGCAGTGACCGCTGTGAGGACATCACTCAGAACTACAAGTATCCTGCAGGTACTGGCCAGGGAAAAGCCCCAGGTTTCTCAGCACTGAAATGAGGGGAAGAGATGGGCCAATCAGATATAGGCCAGAAAAAGTCCCAAACTTTTCTCCAATGTATCTATCCTCTATCCATGAGATGTCAGCACCCCTCACATACCAGCTGTGTCAACAAAAAGTGTATTCAGGCATTTCCAAATGTTGGCAAGGGGGGGGGGGGAGTGTAAAATTCCCCGAGTTGAGAACTACTGCTATAAGACAATACACTCAAAACCAAGCCCAGTGTTCAGAAGAGTTTTGCTGTTGCCTCCTTCCCCCTTGCCTCCAACACCCCAACTCTTCCTTCATATTAGCAGGTGGCACTGCTTTCCACCTATTTGTCAAAAGAAGAAGGGAGTCTTCCCTTTTCACCTCCATATACTATCCTCACATGAATCTGCATCCTGAGCTGTTTCTCATCGCCTGGAGTTAATCCAGGCCTCATTACTTCTTGTCTACAAGATTACAACAGCTTGCTAACTGGGCCGCTGGCCTCCAGTATCTTCACCATGGTTCTCTTTCCAATTTTCAGTTTCCAGAATGAGCTAAGATAAAAAAATCATTATGCACACCCCCAACTCCAGAATAGTCCGTGGCCCCATTACCCTTGGAGTAAGTCCAAATTCCTTCACATTTAATTCCCTGAAAACTGTCCTCAGAGACAATGTTGGCTTGTTGCAAAGCTTACTCTCTCCTTGTTTAAGGGACAAATTCATTTCAGTTGAATAAGTTGGTCCTTGAGTGGCTTGGAAGAAACACATTATCTGTGGTGGCTCTGCCTAACACAGGCATTTTGTGGGCTAAATATGGCCTTAGAGGTTTGCAAAGCTTTTGTGACTTTGATATCTGAGTAGAAATGGGGTAAATACATGTTAAACTTTGGCTTTAATTAGAAGGGTCTGTACCTGCTAGGTGAGAGGCCTGCTTTGTCTCTTCCATATTCCAGGATCCCTTCAAGAAAAAGAGGTGATGGAGAGAGTCCAGGAAAAGAGAATGAAACAGTGGAAACCGAATGGCATCAGACCCCCCAGCGACAAGTGGGCTGATCCTCTATACCTGTTCCTGGAAGCACCCAGCTCCTTTCCCTTGAGAGGGGATGCCCAACTCTCAGTGATCCTGTTTAACCCCAGCAACCAGGAGAAGGAGGTGCAGCTGGTGATTGGGGTCCAAGCTGTGTATTACAATGGAGTGTTTGCTGCCAAGCTCTGGAGGAAAAAGCAGTTTCTCACACTCAGCGCCAACCTGGGTAACGCTACAGCCCCACCAGACACCCTTGACACACCAGGCTCCACCCTGGACACTGCCACAGGTCTCCAGAGAAGGCTTTTAACCTCTAGTGCTCATGCATTCTCAATCAGCCATTCAACATATATTTATTGGGCCTGACATGGCAAAAAAAAAAAAAAAAAAAAAAAGCACAATCTCAACTGCAGTCAGATAAACAAACAGACTTATCATAACAGTGAGGAGGCATCTGAGGTGAACAGAATACAAGGGCAGGAGAGCATCTCACCCAGGCTGGAGTGGGCTGCCCCCAGATGACTCATGCCATGCTGAGTCTTGAAGGACAGGTAGGAAGACAGAAAAGTGTGCTGGCATTCCAGACAGAAGGAACATGAGCACAGATTCCTCCTTCTCCCTGAGATTCTTGTTTAATTGGTCTGGGATGGGGTCCAGACACTGGTGTGTATGTGTGTGTATAGTTTTTTTTAAAGCTCCATATGTGTTCTAGGGTTAAGATTCCCTGGATTAGAAGAGTCATTCTCAAACTTTGTCACCCGTCAGTCACTTGGGAAGTCTGATGCTTGGGCTGCATCCATGCTGCATCCATGGGCTGTGTCCATGGTAGACACAAACATCAGAATTTTTAAAACTTCTCAGATAATTCCAATGTGAAGCAAGTTTGAGAAACAGTGGGCTAGAGTTTGCCTACATGATCGCAACAGCTTCCTGACCATCTCCCTGCCTCCATACTCTCTGTCATTGTTCCCTCTCCAAGCACAGGGGGAATGGTGTGAGGGCAGTGGTGTCAGAGCTACAGAGAGCCCAAATGATGATGGATCTTGTATATGATGCTAAGGAGTCTTGTTTTTGTTCTCTGAAAAAGGGAAGGAAAAGCAGAGAATGGGAAAGAACTATGTGAGCATATATTCAACAACCATGTGTGTCAGCTTCTTCATTCAACATCATCTCATTTAGCACAAACCATCCCATTATTAGATAGACACTGAGGCCAAAAGAGCTTCCCTTCTTTTAATTCATGGGAACTTTTCCACAAACTTTTCTTCTAATTCACGGGAACTTTTTCACACTGAAGTGGTCTGCCAAGAGTGTTGGTGGAAGTGGTATGGGGGAATGGAGGGTAAGAATAGGGTCTTGAGCAAGTGCAAAGTTTATAGCTGTGTGGGAATCAGGCCTCTTTCTGACCTCAGTGAGAGCTTGAGTCCTTTGCATTGTGTGAGGAACGATGGCTTGTTTCAGCGGTATATGCACTCACCCCTTTGCACTGACTCTGCTCATCATGTATTTCAGATATGAGAATAACTATCAGCCTGTCATTCTCCCATTTTGAGCGACACCCACCGGAGAACAGCTTCCTCAGACTTACTGTGATGGCAACACATTCTGAGTCCGGTCTTAGCTGCTTTGCTCAGGAAGATGTCGCCATTTGTAGACCACGTCTTGTTATCCAGGTAGGCACTGGTTCTTCCCTGAATTGCTCTCATTTGCTGCCACTCTGGTCATTTCAGAAGGAAGCCCAGCTCCTCAAGCTTCAGAGCAGATGAGCATGTTGCATAATTGCCTAACAATGCTAGGTTTGAGAGCTCTTCTCTTGAAAGAGATGACCTCTTACATGTAAGATTAAGATTTTAAATTTCCAAATTTAAATGGTTAAGGTTTCTTAACCATACTTAAAGGATAATAATAAGCTGTATTTATTTAGCCCTTTATACATATGCCAAAATATATTCACCTCCTTTATTTCAATACAAAAGCCTTACGAGGTGGAACCATTCCTCTTATTCAGATGAGGAAACTAAGTCTAGAGAGCAACGTATCCAAGAACATAAAAGTAGGAAGTTCTAGAAGCTTGTGGCGCTTGGTGCATAAAGCTTATGGCTCTTTCCACAAGTCTACCACAGCCAAAATGAATGACATCTGATTCCTGTTCAAGGAGGTTTTACTTTGGTAAAGGAGACACAACATTTGGTCTTCTACATAAGTGCTTTACAAGAGGCAAAGTCACTAAGAGAAAACTGAACTAAAAGAGATTAACTCTAGCTGGTGGGTTTATGGACAATTTTGTGAAGGAGGTGACATTTATGATGGGCCTTGAAACATGGATATGCTTTCAGTGCAGAGGTAGGGGAAGGCCATCAAAGGCAGAAGAGGACACACAGAGGTGCAAAGGAAAGGAGCCTGAGTGTTGGGCTAGGGATGGAAATTCCCTGACATGGCTGGAGCATCCTTAGGTCAGGGGAAGAACCAGTAAGGTTGAAAAGGTAGGTTTGGAGCAGATTGTGATGGACCCTGAATGCAAACTAAGCTAGATTCTGAAGGCAATGGGAGACCCTCCAAGATTTCTAAGCAGAGAACAGGCACCATCAGAGAGAGTCCATGATGGATAAAGGGTGGAGAGTAAATACAGAAACATTGGGGAGAAGGCAAATAAGTCAACTGAGCAGTCTGGGTCAGGGTGGCAGAAATGAGATGCATAACTGAGGAGGGAAGGGAATGCACAGGAGGGGAAAGTGGGACAGATTCTGTGCCCTTTGCATCATTCCATGTGTTGTCCTTTCCCACAGATGCCAGAGACAGCCAAGCAATATCAACCTCTTACAGCCTCAATTAGCATCCATAACTCCCTAGACTCCCCCATGATGGACTGCATGATCTCCATCTTTGGAAGGGGGCTCATTCACAAAGAAAGGAGATATGGGTAAGAAACTGAAAGCTTCTTATCCCAGTGATACATCTGGTCAGAAAGGAAGAGACCCAAAAACAATGACTTAGAATATCATAGGGAGGGTGAGCTGCAACCACAACATACAATTTTAATTTATTCCCTATTATTCTAATTCCCTACTTGCACTCACATCACTACCCTTCATATCCTTTTCTATTTGTGTGTCCTTACATGAGTATGTGTAAAATGTGTAGCATTGCTTCATGAGTCTTTGTTTTTAACTTATATAAATGTCTACTTGTATCTTTTCACTCAGAACTGATTTTAAGATTCATGGACATATATCAAGTTCATTGCTTCTGCTACATAATAATCCTGATGTACATCCATCACTTCTTACCATTCCATGATGATGGCCACCCAGAGTGCCTCCAACTGTGACACCATAAATATTGTTGCAGTGAACAGCCTCACATATGTCCCCCTTATATGCTTGGTTAAGACTCTGATGGGGTCAGGGGACATATATGCCCAGGAATGAAATGATGGGTTACAGGATATGATCTGGTTTGACAAGGTACTTCCAGATTTATTTGCAGAATGGCTACAGAAATCTACACTCCCTCCAGCAGTACATGAGTTTCTATATCCTACTTCTCCTCCACTGGTAGCAATAATTATTAATTAATTATTAATTTCTTCCAGTCTAATATAAAACCAGTAGTATCTTACTACTGTTCTAATTTGCCACTCTTCATTTTTCTTCACTGTTTCCACTTCTTCCTTTACAAAAAGTCTATCCTTATCTTTGTCCAGTCTTCTTTTGGTAGTCTTGCCATTTTTTCTTGTTGATTTTATTCTACACTGTAACACTGTGTATTCTACATTAGTCCCTTGTTGATTAGATGTTACAAATATTCTTTTAGTATGTCCACTGCATCCTTCATTGGTTATATGATATAGAGTTCAAGATCCCCATTTCTGTCTTCCCCGAGATCCCTGACAGACAATCAGGTTATTGAGTCACTGCCTCAGCCTCATGGAACTAAATGAGCCACTCTAACCAGTTAAGATGTTAACTGCCAACATTTTACCAGACTTTTTGTGGTTTACCAGGTCCACTGTGTGGCAAAGCTCCTCAAAAGAAATCCACACCATTCTCTCAGTCACCAAAAGGCCTTCAGCAGGCCAGGAGTTGATAGGGCCTTCAAACATCACCAACTGACACAATGATATTCTCCCAAAATGCCTGCTTCACCCACTATGCTTAGAACTAAGTGAGGGTTCCAACACTATTTTCCAAACATACACCTGTCCTATTACCAAGAAATGACAGACTGAATCACAGATAATAAAAGGAAAATGAGAAGCAACCCTTATTATTCTTCTCTTTCAAAATATGCAGTTGCCCAGTGTAGGGAGGTTCTGGTCTTCTATTCTTCTAACCACCTCTGGCTTAAAAGCTACGTACATAGATGATTTTTCTTTTTCTTTTTTTTTTTTAACATCTTTATTTTATTTTTACGTGGTGCTGAGGATTGAACCCAGCACCCCGCGCATGAGAGGCGAGCGCACTATCGCTTGAGCCACATCCCCCAGCCCCATAGATGATTTTTTCATAGTCCACCTCTTCAAGCAAAGAACAGAGTTACCACAATGAGGACAGCAATGAACCTGTGACAGAATTAGCACCCACTTTTTCCTTTATTTCAGATTAGGTTCTGTGTGGCCTGGAAACACCTTGAGCACCCAGTTCAAGTTCACACCAACACAGCTGGGGCTCCAGAGGCTCACCGTGGAAATGGATTGCAACATGTTCCAGAACCTAACCAGCCACAGAAGCATCACTGTGGTAGCCCCAGAACTTTCAGCTTAAACTTCCCAGCTCTAATCACCATTTTCCTCATAAACTCTTGAAACTACACTCTAAAACCAAACATGTGCTGTGGAGGGAAACTCTGTCAACCAATGACTCTCCATTCAGGTTGCAGAAGAGTGACCAAGAACAAAGTTAGATTCCGAGAAACCAAAAGACCTGTCACCTGGCTTAAAGCAGCCATGAGGGCTAGATGTTTTAGAACAGAACTATTAGGTTAGAGTGACAAAAGGACGCCTTTGAAAAGGTACTCAGATCTAACTTTTCAAAGTATGAAAAGTATATCTATATATTTGCCTTTTCAGAGTATATTCAGATTTTCTAAGTTTGGGGCTTTTCACAACTTTTACTGAATAATAAAACATTCACTAACTTAGAGGCAAGGGAAAGGACCTAATGTGCAAATCATTATTCCATTTCTGATGAAGTAGTATAATATTAGCTAAGACTGAAATTTTTAGATAATCTTAAAATTATATTGATTAGTGCTATCATTACCCTTAAAGATCCAAAGATGACTGAACAAATGTATAAAATATATAACACAGGCCACATGTGGTGGTGCACACCCATAATCCCAGTGACTTGATAGGCTGAGGCAATGGATCCTAAATTCAAGGCTGGCGCTGGCCACTTGGCAAGACCCTATCTCCAAAGAAAAAAAAAAAAAAAAATGAACTGGGGATTAGCTCAGCTCAGTGGTAAAGTGCCCCTGGGTTCAATCCTCAGTACCAATTTTTTAAAAAATTTAATACATATACACACATCTAAATGCATAAAAATATATATACTCACACACCGTACATACATACACATCTAAAAATGTGTATATATGTGTATGTACACACATGCATGTGTGTATATATACATATTTATATATTTGTAGATAAGTGTTTATATATATGTATATACACCCTATATACATATTTACAACACAGAACCTAAGAGCATAATGACCTACATTTAGCTATAGATAAATATTTATTAGAATTCTATATTCATTAAGTATCCCACAACTAAACACTGATGTTAATAACATGTATTTGGTCCAGTAAAGAAATATGAAAATTAAGTATATAGAAAATAGGCCCTATAAAAAAAGAATAAATGAATAAGAGTCCTTTTGTACAAAGTTGTGATTTGTTTACATTATGTTGTTGCTTCAGTAATTCACTAGTTTTAGTTCTTTTTATTATAATAAATAAATTTTTTAGTTGTAGATAGACACAATACCTTTATTTTATTTATTTTTATGTGGTGCTGAGGCTTGAACCCATTGCTTCACACATGCCAGACAAGCACTCTACCACTGAGTCACAACCCAAGACCCTTAGTTCCTTCTCTTTAAAAGTGCAGATTGGTGCGGCTAATTTGGAAAGCAGTATGGAGATTCCTGGGAAAGCTGGGAATGGAACCACCATTTGACCCAGCTATTGCCCTTCTCGGACTATTCCCTGAAGACCTTAAAAGAGCGTACTACAGGGATACTGCCACATCGATGTTCATAGCAGCACAATTCACAATAGCTAGACTGTGGAACCAACCCAGAAGCCCTTCAATAGATGAATGGATAAAAAAAAAATGTGGCATTTATACACCATGGAGTATTATGCAGCACTAAAAAATGACAAAATCATGGAATTTGCAGGGAAATGGATGGCACTAGAGCAGATTATGCTAAGTGAAGCTAGCCAATCCCTAAAAAACAAATGCCAAATGTCTTCTTTGATATAATGAGAGCAACTAAGAACAGAGCAGGGAGGAAGAGCAAGAGGAAAAGATTAACATTAAACAGAGACATGAGGTGGGAGGGAAAGGTAGAGAAAAGGGAAATTGCATGGAAATAGAAGGAGACCCTCTTTGTTATACAAAATTACATATAAGAGGTTATGAGGGGAATGGGGAAAAAAAACAAGGAGAGAAATGAATTACAGTAGATGGGGTAGAGAGAGAAGTGGGAGGGGAGGGGAGGGGGGGATAGTAGAGGATAGGAAAGGTAGTAGAATACAACAGTTACTAATATGGCATTATGTAAAAATGTGGATGTGTAACCGATGTGATTCTGCAATCTGTATTTGGGGTAAAAATGGGAGTTCATAACTCACTTGAATCTAATGTATGAAATATGATATGTCAAGAGCTTTGTAATGTTTTGAACAACCAATAAAAAAAACATAAAAAAATAAAATAAAATAAAAAAATAAAAGTGCAGAATGGAACTTTTAAAAAATAGGTTAAAACTCATTTGGTTTAAGGAATTTCAAACCCAAGGATGTACTGGTCACTGAAAATAATGACTGTTATTGTTGATTATACCTTAAGAAAGACAGGTTGCAGAGACCTGTAGTACATACATTAGGCCCAATTCAAGTCACCACATATACGACATTTATAGCTTTACTCCACTTTACAACATGTGATCTTCTAGATAGATGCAAAAATATAATTAAGTGGAGATAATTTTACAAAAGAATGTACCAAATAAACTTAAATTTATATAAACTCTAATATATAAAAACTTTTGATTTATATACTGTGGTATTTATCTTTGGGAATGTAATATACAATAGAACAATAACAATAACGTATAAGGAAAACAGATCTGTTTAATAAAGTGGACAAACCTAAAAATGAGCTCAATACCAATATATTTTAGAGGCAAGGAGTAACCTGGGGTAATATTCAGAAGGAATTACTGATGAGAATAATATTATGAAACATGCTAAAACACTAAGGGGCTTTTTGCAGTCATTTTCTCTAAATAAATTAATGTCAAGTGTTTTTGTTCTAAATAGACTTCTGATCAGAATCAGATATTTAGCCAGGTGCGATGGCACACACCTATAATCCCAGCAGCTTGGGAGTGTGAGGCAGGAGGATCACGAGTTCAAAGGCAGCCTTAGCAACAATGAGGCACTGGGCAACTAAGTGAGACCCTGTCTCTAAATAAAATACAAAAAAAGGACTGGGGATAGGTTCAGTGGTTGAGTGCTCCTGAGTTCAATTCCTGGAAACCCCCCGCAAAAAAAAAAAAAAAAAAAAAATCAGATATTTATACTTATAAACCCAAATGAAAGTAATGGTGGTCTCAGCAGATTGCATTTCTGGTAGGAAGAAATTTTAGAAGGGTATTCATTTAATTGCTAGCAAATAGTTAGCATTTCATTGAGACCACTGGCATCTGTAACAATGAAAAACATACTTTATTGCAAATAAGGATTAAGGCAGCTTCCCTAGGAGTCTCTGAGAGGCCATTCAGGAATACTGATTCATGCAATTATCTTTTGTATCTAGCAGAAAAATATATCATACTCATACTGTTTATAAATAATTGCCAATCTGGCTTAACCAACAATCTTTGGTAGTAGAGTCTCTTGTTAAATATAGACAGGAATTCCCTTTCCATCCAGCAAGTATTCTAGCTCCATTCTTAAAAGCAGACATTATAGATCTGGCTGGGACAATAAGAGAGAGTAAAAGGAGAATATGAATGCGCCTGAAAACTCATAATTAAATTTCACTCTGAGTGAGCTCCTTAATTCTGTTCATGCAATGATCAACAGCATTAATGAGTAAAGGGATCCAACTATCTTCTGGCTGAGGGGTCACATGACTTGCTCTGTAGAATAAAATGGGGGAAAAAAGGTTACTATGAGGTCAGGGGAAAATCTATCCTCAGGAGAGTGCACAGAAGAAACTACAGTAAAAGGCAAGTTTCTTCACAGAAACCAAAACTAAAAGAAAACCCCAATCCTTCCCTTTCCTATTTCTTGAAGTGGGAACTTGGGAGTTGAGAAAGTCAGACAGACACTCAGCTTTATTCTCAAAAGGCTAGCTAGGGAGAAGTCTTCATACTTACTTTGTAATTTCGAGTGCCTTCCTTAAAACAGATACAAGTTTTGCAGACTAGAAAAGAAACAGAGAAGTTAATCACCCTGAGCCCTGCCATCAAAAAGGTAAAGGAGAGCTTGAATTTTTAATAGACCCCCAAAATTAAAAAAAAACAACGTTAAAACAAGAACTCATTTAAAAAGAACCTTGAATATACTCAAAACAAAAATGCTGACTAGGTTGAGGTGGCAGGATTATAAATTCTCTTCTATTTAGCAAAATATTACTAATATTGTTGCTATAACATTTTTCTAAGTTTTTAAAACTTAAAATATTTCTAATTTTTAAAAAAGAAGAGAAAAGAATGTAGTCTGAATTTATCCTATCTGCTAAGAGCTCAAAATATAAAGCAGAAATAACTAATGTTCTTTACTTTAAAAATGTACAGAATTTTAACAACACCAATTTCAAGTTAACATGGGGAGGTGGGGGACACAGCTCCATGGTAGAATATGTGCTTACCATGCATAAGGACCTGGGTTCAATTCTCAGCACCAAAAAAAAAAAAAAAAAAACACCCAGAAATGAGGATGTATATATCCCAACAATATAAAGTAAGACATATAAAGATTACATATTTTTAATTGCTTTAGTAATTATTATTTGGGATAATTGAATATTTTTAATAGGCATACTGCTAAAGATGTTTAATTCTTAGGAAGTTAACTTTTAAACTTAATGCCAAAACAACAAACAAAAAATTTAATGCCCTAAGGATACTATTCTTCTTCAAGGTGTTTGTACACTATGAACACACATTTTGATGAATCTAATTTCCACTATCAAATTTATCAAATATTAGAAGGGGTACATCTGACTATAAAACATAAGTCATTTGGGGGGCTGGGATTGTGGCTCAGTGGCAGAGTGCTTGCCTCACATGTATGAGGTACTAGGTTCAATCCTCAGCACCACATAAAAATAAATAAATAAAATAAAAAAAAAAAACACCTCAGCAAATATTTATAATGCACAAACACATGCAAGAACTGTGACATTACTGTTGTGACAGTACTTTCGCACCCAAGTGAGACAAATAAATAAGTACCCTATACTTTACAGAAAATACTAGTGACTAGTGAAATTCTACAAATAGGTCTATAACTCCTCCCAAAAAGTCAATACTCACATTGATTCGCACAGTCAGGTGGCACATAGGTGGATATATGCTCAGAGCCAAATCATCCACGCTAGGAGCAGAAAGAAAAATAACCATTATCATATTCAACAACAAAAACAAAGGAACTAAGCTAGCTAGGTTGTTTCTAGTATACAACTATGGATGTAACTAGGGAGAAATTGGCTGTCCCAGAAGTGCTTGTCAGTTCCTTAAATTGGGCAACCAGGCAACCAATGAAAAATCAATTTAACCAGTATTCGCTGAAACATACATACCCTATTTCACTAGAAAACTGGGGTGGGAGGGAATGCCCTTGGTTCATTCATAGGGCAGGACATGATTAATTTAGTAAAAAATGTGAGGATCTGAAAT